AAAGGTCTGGCACCCATGGGGGTTCATACAGCTCTACGCGTTGTTATCTCAGATTGTCCAGCATCGGCAGTTCCTACTATCCCAGTAAAACTCAATTGCTTGCCAAACGCAGCCATTCACGAGCTGAATTATGATTTTCACTGGCTTGAGATTATTACGAAGCTCGATAGGACTGGGGAGTTCACCCCGAACTCTTGTTTCTCTCTCCATGGGTGCCAGACCTTTCCTATCATCTGCTTTTACTTCAGACTTTCAGCATCTTAGAGTGTTGTGCTTTTGCATAAGCTCATCTGCTCTGATAAGTAAGCTTCTTTCAGTTTCTAATGAATCCATTAGGATTACACCGTTCAGTCCCGTGTCAAACAGGACCCCTACATGCACCTTCAACTCTCACTCTTCCCTTATAAAGGATGCAACCATCAAAGAAACAAACTGTAAAATCCATTTGATTTTAAGGAAAGTGTGTTAGAATTAAATCATATTATTTCCCCTCACAAATACTGACTGACCCAATGAGCACATAGGCATTAGAGAGAATGCAAAAGATTCACAAGAATGGTTTCAAAGAAAAAGGGTCTTCCAGTTACATGGAGAAGCTGAGATCAAAATCTTGGAGTCTTGGAGCAGGCTAAGGGAAGATCTGTTGGAGGTGTTCAAAATCCCAAGGGATATGGACCGAGTAGACAGGGACTGGTTGAAAGATCGAGAATCAGAGGACACTGATTTAAGATGGGTGGCAAAAGGAGCAACAGCGATGCAAGGGAAGTTTCTTTCACACAGCAAGTGGTTAGGATCTGGAATGCTCCGCCTGAGAATGCACTGGGGACAGATTCAATTGTGGTTTTCAAGTGGGTCATTAGATCATTATCACAGAATCCCTTACAGTGTGGAGACAGGCCATTTGGCCCAATAAGTCCACACCAATCCTCAAAAGAGCATCCCACCCAGACCCACCCCATTCCTGTAACCCTGCATTTCCCATGGCTAATCTGCCTAGCCTGTACATCCTTGGACAATGTCCCATGGCCAATCCCCCTAACCTGTACATCTTTGGACTGTGGGAGAAAACCAGAGCACCCTGAGGAAACCTACACAGACACAGGGAGAATGTGCAAACTCTACACAGTCAATTAAGGGTGAGAACTGAACCCAGGACGCTGGTTTTGTGAGGCAGCAGTGCTAACCACTGAGCCACCCCATTATCTGAAGGCAGGTGAGAGAATACAGGGTAAAGGGGGCAAGAGTGGCATATTTGAATGACTCTCTCAGAAAGTGCCAATCTAGACATGAAGCATCAAATGGTCTCTTTCTATGCCCTAAATATTCAACAATTCCATGGAACCCCTTCCAGGTTTCTAGCCAAGTGGTTGTACCTCGTTCGGAATTGCTTAAGTTAAACTGCAACTTCAAAATACCTGGTAAAGCTCCTTCTAACTAACCTATAACAAAAATTCCACCAGACCATCCACCCATCTGAATGGATCTGTAGGTGAATTCTGGGGTACATTCTCAGCGTACACATTAAACTTCAATGTAAAAGCAGCTCAGGGTGGATGCTGGTTTTAACCTGTGGAGTCTCCTCAAGCAAAAACTGATATAAACTACAATCACCCCAATTTAGGAAGCAGACACAGCAGTTTCTAAACTTCCTAATCCTGTTTCTCCCCCCACCCCCGAACTCCCCTCCTTCAGTGAGTGCAGTGGGACAGGACGTGATGTCTTCTGTTGCTGAACAGCCATTAAATAGTCAACATTCTGACCCCTTGGATGTTTGTATCAAAAGGTTCACACAATGTATTTTTTTTTAGATCACATCTTCCCCAGATTAGTGGGATGAAGATTACAAATAAACCATTTGTCTTTCTTCCTCTCACCTCAAATTATGGAAAGATGGAGCATGTAAAAAAAAACAATACGCCTCAGATGCAAGAGAAAACATAGTGGAACCACCCAGTAGTTAGGAGCCATCTGTGGTGAGAGGGAGAAAGGTCGTTTCATGCCCTTGCTTTTAAAATCTGCAAGTGAAACTTCAAAATATGGTTGGCGTTAAGGGAGAAAGGACAGAAAGGGGTCAGAATGTGCTATATGGCCTCATGTACACACTGTATTTAACCCCCTGTGCTGTGGAACGACCACAGGAGACATTCGGCCCCCAGTGCCTGTACTGGCTCTTTCGAAGGCTATTTTGATAGCCCACTCGGCCAAACTGTCGGCGAGAAGACAAGAAATTTGCATTCGCTCCATCGGCAAAACTCGATGCACCCCTGGTTTAACTTTTGGAATCAGCATCTGGACATCATTTAGTCATTAAGAACAGAACCAGAAGCAATGTGCCTGCAGAACGTTATAATGCACATGTTTAGAAAGAGTTTAAACGCACATTCTGTAAGGGGAAAAAAATGCATGTTAAAAGTTTCAACAAGATTCTCTTCCTCTGGAAGACTTACTCTGATTCTGGGTATTTCCATCGTACGGACTTTGCCTTCTCTTTTTGCCTGCTTGGCCGCTGACTGCACTCAGACACACGGCCAGGAACAAGACCCCGAGCATGGAGTGGTGCATCTTCCAGACACCAGCTCCCTCTCGCCCTTTCACAGCTCACTGAAGACAGCCAGATGCCTGACAATTACCCCCTCCGTGTTGAAAAGGAGAGAGAGAGGGTGGTGGGGGGGGGGGCTGGTCCAGAGAGAATTTGTGGTGGCGGGGGGTATACAGGGACAGAAAAAGCCAGACCAGAGAGAGAGAGAGAGAACCTCTCAGCACACCTTTGGCCAGTGAGTGAGTGAGTGAGTGCCTGCTTCTGCAGCCCTCTTTATAACGTTGTACAACCTCCGGACAGGATGGGTGGACCTTTGGAAGTTTGTGGAAGGGGAGGGGTCTCACTTTGGCTACATCAATAATATTTACAAGTCTGCCTCTGACATCACTGAGGACTTGGGTGAAAAACAGCCAGTTCAGACACTTATCAGACACCAGGCATCTCTCTTAAAGGGGCATTGCATCCCTGAGGCAGGTTTAAGACAACAGACATCCCTCATAAGGCAAGGTAGTCATTCTATAAAGTGAGTCACCGCTCGTCTTTAAAGACGGGAAATTCAGACTGAAATATTCTGTACATTTGCAACAAAGGAAAACACATGATTAAACTGAATTCAGCTTCTGTCTTGCCAGCTGTTTACTTGTGAGTGATTTTACTGAACAGTAACTTGACAAATCACTGCTGGGAAGGATTGGAAGTCTTTTTATTTTTTTTTAAAAAGGTACACCTAATCTAGGCTCCTTTTACCAGCTGGAGGGACAGCAAATCTGAGGCGGAGTGAGAGTTTGAATGTCAATAGGTGATCGAGGCGGCGAATTAAGTCCTCAACAAGACGAAGAGATGTTTGAGTTAATTCTTAAACATCTCTAAAGTCATCCGCCCTCCCCCACCCCCCCCGACACACACACACACACAAATCCTCCACGAGATCTGCAAACATTGTCTTCACTGAATCCAAAAACATGAGGTACAGATTTGTCCAAATATGTCTTGCAAAGCTGATTTTAAAAAAACACCCTTGTGTGAATTTTACATAAACTTGGTCTTCTGTTAAAAAAAAGGGGGAGGTGGGGATTCGGAGACAAAGGAGGTTGGGGGGGGAGGGGGTATACAGACATAAACCGAGACAGACTGGGTATTCAATCATAACCGAATGACAACCTTCCCGCCGCTTACGTGCAATAAACACTCGCTACTAGGAAGTGTGAGCCAGACATTGCATCTTTGAACTCGCTCTCCGAGCGTTTGCAGTGTTTATTTTATTTAAAACGTGGGCGTTAGAAACGTCGCTTTTGCAGTTACTTTCGGTGCGCACAACGCGGGAGAACTTTTTTTTAATTTTCGAAAACAAAGGTGAAATACCAGGGATGATGAAGGAAAAAGAAAACAAAAATTGCGAAACAAAACGCAGAAGGTCAGGCAGCATCTGTGGAGAGATACAGTTAATGTATAAGATTGATGACCTGACCCTTAAAGGTCATCCCAATTTGAAACATGTCGGTTTCTCTTGCAACCTGGCCTATTTCCTACATTTTCTTTTCCGTTCCAAGACTTGTCTTCTCACAATGCTCCCTCTTACACCGGGTCTCTCACCAGCTCTAAACTCTGCAGTGACCCAGGCGCAACCTGGTAGAAAATGAAATGTTACAAAACTCCACCTCGAAAGTGTTCCATTGTTTGTAAAGTACTCGCATCCTCCCGAAAGGTGCAAATTTTCAGCAGCAAAATACTGCTGTTTGGGGTATCTGTGATGAAACCGGAAACTGCTGGGGCTACTCAGTAGGTCTGGCATCTTCTGTGCAGGGAGGAACAAAGAGTTAAATCGATTTCAATGAGATTTCCTACGAACTGAAGGTGCAAAGTGTATCTTTTTTCTAAAGACAAAAATCGGTGAGTTACCAATGATGGGACGATGCCACAAGAGTCACAAAAGGACTGAGCATGCTGGAGAATCTGAAACAAAAACTTGCTGGAGAAACTAAGCAGGTTTGGCCAGCATCTGTGGAAGAGTCGCCAGACTGCGGACGTGAACTCTGCTTCCCTCCCGCAGACCTGACGGCCAGACCTGCTGAGTTTCTTGTTTTCTTGGCACAGAAGTTCAGGGTTGCTCCTAATGTGAAAGCTGAGAGAATCTCGGGGGAAATATTTTTTTTAAAAAGTTGAGACAGGAAGAGCTGCTTAAAAAAAGAGTAAACTAAACCCTTCAAATCAAATGCCTCTTTAAGTGAGGCTCTGTCGAGTTTCACTATTATTCTACGTTTGAATTTGGAAGGGGACGTCCAAAAACAATGTTGGGGTCCTGCACTTTAAATGAAGTAAAATGCCTCGGGGAGCAGAGCTTCTGGTTTTGTGTTAAGTGTGTGATTCATGTTTGAAGGACTAAGCGTCAGTGCTCCAGTATGTAGGCCAGGAACTCCAGATAAGAAAAGGGACGCCGCCTTGTTTAACCATTAAGCCGGGGACAAGGTAGATTGCCGAAGTAGTGAATGGTGATTCCCTGTCGGGCTTGGAAACATTCAGTGAGGCTGCCCTCCGGCCCTCAAGAGTCAGAAATACCCCATTCCCTGCAAAACTAACTAGCCAGAGTAACCACCCCAACCCGGGAACAAAGGGGATCCGTACTTATCAATGTGCATTTCGTGACAAGAAACTCATCCCATCTCTCTAACACCCATTTTAAGATAACTTAGCAAAGGCATGTTTTAATCGGTCGCTGAGTCACTCAGAGAGGGCAACTGGATCCTTGGAAGCCCAGGTTAACCCTGCTTTAATCTCGCACCCCCCCTCAATATTATGACCATAACTCAGCGCCATCGGTATTTAGCTCAAAGACAAACTACCAGACCACACTGCTACATCGCCAAAAAATGCAGAGCCCGTCACCTAGTACTTAGACACCATTCAACCTCAGCTGTTTGTTTTAACATTCTATAAAATCTCCCTCTCACTGGAGCATAGGGGGTTGAGAGGCGACCTTATGAACGTTTATAAAACAATGAGGGGCACAGGTATAGTTAATGGTAGTTGTCTTTTCCTTAGGATGGGGGATTTCAAGACAGGGGCCACATTTTTAAGGTTAGAGGAGAGAGATTTAAAAAAGACATGAGAGGCAATTCTTTTACACAGCGGGGATTGGCGTGTGGAATGAACTTCCTGAGGAAGTGGTGGATGTGGGCGCAGTTACAATGTTTAAAAGACATTTGGATTAGAACATGAATAGGAAAGGTTTGGAGGGAAAATGGGCCAGGGCAGACAGGTGGGACTAGTTTAGTTTGGGCTTGTGGTCAGCGTGGACTGGTTGGACCGAAGGGTCTGTTCTAACATAACTTTTTTAACATAACTTAGCAAAGGCATGTTTTAATCGGTCGCTGAGTCACTCAGAGAGGGCAACTGGACCCTTGGAAGCCCAGGTTAACCCTGCTTTAATCTCACACCCCCCTCAATAGTATGACCATAACTCAGCGCCATCGGTATTTAGCTCAAAGACAAACTACCAGACCACACTGCTACATCGCCAAAAAATGCAGAGCCCGTCACCTAGTACTTAGACACCATTCAACCTCAGCTGTTTGTTTCCGTGCTGTATGACTCAATGACTCTATGATTATGACTGTCCTGTCTCCCTTCTTAAATGTGATGTGCGCTGTACTTTGGCACAGTAATGGTGTCTCTTCCTCAGGACTACGGGACCCAGGTTCAGATCCCAAGGAAAGATCACTCAACCTGAAACGTTAACTCTGATTTCCCTCCACAGATGCTGCCAGACCTGCTCAGCTTTTCCAGCAATTTCTGTTTTTGTTTCAGATCCTGCCTGTTCCAGAGGTGTATCATAACAACTGCTTTGAAATACATCAATGTACCTCAAAAATGCTGTTCACCTCAGCCAGTCCCTATGGCCATGGTTCCCATGTTCTCTGAATTACTCACTGTCTAATTAATGACTCTCTTATATTTGTGAGCCCTATATTTAAACTTACCACAAAGGACAATGTCTTTCCCATATTATTCCTATTCATAATCTTACAGACAGACCACCCCTCCTCTACAGGAGACTAGCTCCAGCCTCTAAACCTTCCCTGAGGCATATGGCTTGTTGGGTAGAATCATAGAACCTCTACAGTGTGGAATCAGGCTATTTGGCCCATCGAGTCCACACCAACCCTCTGGAGAGCATCCCTCCCAGACCCAGCCCTGTCACTGTAACCCTGCATTTCCCATGGCTAATCCGCCTTGCCTGCACATCCCTGGACGCTATGGGGCAATTTAGCATGGTCAGTCCACCTAACCTGTGGATCTTTGTGACTGTGGGAGGAAACTGGAGCACCCGGAGGAAACCCACGCAGACACGGGGACAATGCACAAACTCCACACAGACAGTTGCCCGACGCTGGGACCGAACCCGGGTCCCTGGCGCTGTGAGGCAGCAGTGCTAACCACTGAGCCACTGTGCCGCCCCACAGCAGTGCTAGAAGCACTGTTTGTGTTTTCTCTAGTGCCTCAAGATCGTCCTTATAATATGGAGGTGGTGGATGACACTAATAGCATTCCAAAAAATGCTAAATAATGAAGGAACTGGGGGAGTGGGTGGAGATTGTGGAGTAAATGACTATCACTGGAGGGAAAAAGTACTGGGGAATCTTATGGGCCCAAAGACAATAAGTCCCTTGATTCTGATGGGATGCGTGCTAGATGTTAAAGAAACTAACTACAGAGATAGTGAGATAACAAGGTGTAAAGCTGGATGAACACAGCAGGCCAAGCAGCATCAGAGGAGCAGGAAAGCTGACGTTTTGGGTCTAGACCCTTCTTCAGAAATCTACAGAGATAGTCCTTTTCACTGGGAGTAATGTTTGAAGAATCCTTAGATTGTGGAAAAGTACTGGAAGACTGGAAAACAGCCAACATAACACCCTTACTCAAAAAGGTAGGAGACAAAAAAACAGGCAACTATAGGGCTGTTCTGAGGAAGGGTCACTCGTCCTGAAGCGTTAACTGTGATTCCTCTTCACAGATGCCGCCAGATCTGCTGAGCTTTTCCAGCAATTTTTGTTTTTGTTTCTGATTTACAACATCCATAGTTATTTCTCAAAAAGGTAGGAGACAAAAAACTGGCAACTATAGGGCTGTTCTGAGGAAGGGACACTCATCCTGAAACATTAACTGTGATTCCTCTTCACAGATGCTGCCAGATCTGCTGAGCTTTTCCAGCAATTTCTGTTTTTGTTTCTGATTTACAACATCCACAGTTATTTTGG